CATAATATCGTATAATGGTGTTATATTTAATATGTTATTGTTATAGGGTCCGCTGTCGTAGGGGATCCCTTCGGGGCACAGGTAAACATGTCTTATATGCACACACAACCAACATTAATGAAACATATCATAGTTATAGCATTACCATTTGTATTTCAGAACGAATCTTAATCAATCAATAATAACAATTTTATAATATATAATTTTAATAGAACTGAAAGTAAGATTATACGGAAGCATTCCTAAGTATCGTTATAAAATTAGAGTATAGTTTTACCCTAATAAAATTTATATTAATTTTATTATATTATAATATAGAAGAATAGTTAAAATAAAATATTATTATATGTTCAATGTTAAGAGAGGACATGTTTTTTATTTTTAAGACAATGATAATTTTTTGTATACTTTTTAACAAACTTTCGTTATACAAAATCTCTTTTCGCTGATTTAGCATTATAAGCTTCTAAATACGAATAAATAGATTTTACATAGTATCAAGTCAAGATCATTTTTGGAATAAAAAATTAAAAAATAATTTTTTTTTTTTTAATAGGATTTACATTTTTTTTTCAAATTGTTTTTATACAATGTGATATCAAATTTTCAGAACTTTTTTATTTTTACTCCCCCTCTCCCAACTTAGTTTTTTTGATAGCAAATTGAGAATATTGTACTAAAATGTTTACTGGTCGATAACCAGTTTCGGTTAACTATTTTTGAATTATGTCCTTTTCGACATTCAACATAATATAATATGCCCTATTTAATAGGGCTTAGTGATCAAAAGGGCCTGTAATCATTGTGTTAAAAAATGAAACATTAAACATATAATAATATTTTCAATTATTTTTTTATTTTTTTTTAAGCTTTTACGAGCCATTTAAGCTCTTTGCTTCTAAAACCAATTCCCCCCGTACCTAACCGTAAAAATTTTAAATATTTATTCCGTATTATCTCTTTTTTCGTTTATATTATATTCTTGATGGGAATTATGAAAACAAATTTTTTTTTTCATATTAGACTATTGCTTAGTTAAAGTATAATAGGTATACACGCTTTAATGTAAAATATTCAAAAACTGTTTTTTTTCGCTATTTTTTTATGTATAGGCCATTTATGATTTTTCTCATGTACACTACAAATTAATGCGTGACTGCAAATAAGCTTAAAGGGATCAAAATTTGAGTCATCTCACATAATATAATAAACTTTTGTGGTTTGTCCTTTAAAAGTCTTAATTGAAGCTAAACCCCCACTCTGTAATAAATTGATATTTTAATTTAATTTAAAAATATTTTTTTCCGTATCTTTTTTTCAGTTTATATTACATTCTTAATGGGAATTATGAAAACTCATTTTGTTTTTTTCATATTAGTTTATCGCTTAGCTAAGGTACAATATGTACACGCTTAACAGTCAAATATTCGGTTGTTTTTTATGTACAGGCCATATACATAAAATATTTTTCAACTAAAACTTTACGGCTTACTATGAATTATTAAAAAAAAATAAAATAATATAGTTTTTTTATTTGTTCAGTATTGTTTTTGTATCATGATACTGTTTAGACATCTGTTTCTTAGTTTATTATTTTTTTAAAACTCCAACATATTACCAACTATATGTTTTTGTAAATCCGTGTTTCGAATGACCCACTTCTAGTACGATTGTGTATTCAAATGTTGATGAATATTTTCTGAGCAATTTGTACAAACAAAAACCAACTAAACAAAAGCCTAACCGCTAAAAATATAAAACATGAAACATCATCTCCGTGTGGTAACGCTTTTTCGTTACGCTTTTTTGGTAACGCTTTTTCGGTTATGTGCCAGAGCTAAGACATGAAAATGTCAAAATATGATTAAAACTAACATTTATCAAATTCACATTGTAATATTATCTGTATTATCTATGTTATAACGCGATTTGAAAATATGATTTTACTCATATACACAACAGTTGGCCGGGAATGTTTACAGATCGAACCATAACATGTTATTTTCAATATTGTACAATGGTGTTATATATTTTAGACATCTGTTTCTTAGTATGTTATTTTTTCAAAACTCCAACATATTACGATCTATATGTTTTTGTAAATCCGTGTTTCGAATGACGCACTTCTAGTTTGATTATGTATTCAAATGTTGATAAATATTTTAACTGTAAAATCGTATTTTTCAAATCACATTACAACATTTATAAAACCTGTGGTATTATTGTTTTATATCTAAAATATTACTGTATAATAAAACTAATATAGATTTTATTAGAAAAATAACAATTCTCCAGTTATATAACGATACTAGGAATGCTTCCTTATATTCTTACTTCAGTGCTCAGGAGTTTTTAATGAAAATTATTAAGGTTTTATACAAATAAACTGGTTTTATACAATTTTAAAGTAATTTCATATGCCTTGGAACGCATATTCTAGGAAGTGCTTCTTAGCCCCTCAATTTCTTTGAATAATACTTATTACTGCATCAACCCTCGATAAGCATGGCAGAAATGACATGCGCCCTCTGGCGAACGAACTGGCATAAGTTAGCTATAGCCCTCCCGGTCAGATACACCATACGAATATATATTTTATAATCGGAGTATTGTTTTTTCCTAATAAAATCTATATTAATTTTATTAACATATACTAATAATATTTTATGTATAAAAACAAATACTTAAGATTTTAGAATTATCGTCATAACGCGATTTGAAAAGCATGATATTACACTTGTATGTATACAAAATAGTTGGTTGGTTTTGTTTACTGATCAAATCAGGTTATTGTAGTAGATTCGCAGCAGATGTTCTTTTAAAATGTATATTTTGACTTTTGTGCTTTACTACACTTAAAATACCAAAATAAAGTATTTGACCATTTTTATTAAAAATAATTTCTATAGACCTGTGACCTCTCCGTCCCCTCTATGCTTTGATTCCATTATGCCACCACCATACTGTACTAGTCCTTTCGGATGAAATGTCTTTCAAATAAACGCTTTGATGCTAATTTATAAACACTGCACCTCATTTTGCTGGTGTATACTGTGCTTGGTTTGGACTTTACTGGTTTGAAAATACTAACTATTGATTCGCATCAAAGCGTTTATTCGAAAGTGATTTCATCACTTTCAGATGTAATAATTCTTTTGAACCTGTGACCTCCCTGTGATCACCATGCTCCATCCCCACTTTGCCAGTGGGGAAGTGCTCGCAATTTGAATTGCAACATTCCACCGGAACGACAAACAAGATTGTAAATTCATAAAAACGTTATAATAAAAATCAAAATGTGTTTCATGATTCCCATCAAGAATAGAATATAAACGAAAAAATAGATAATACGGAACAAATATTTTTAATTTGGGCCCGGTTTTTCCACTAAAAGTTTATTTATCGAATTACTATTTCGCATAAAAATTTAGTTTAATTCCGAATAAAATAAACATTGAAGCATTATAGAAAGACAAAATAAAGTAATTCAGTAGTAAAAACTTGAGGTTTAATTTTTTTTTTTACATTATCCCTTAAATTTTAATGTTGGGTAACTGTTTTTTTTTTTCATTATAACTAGAATGCATGTACTTAATTTTATGGTTTCTAGAATAATTAATTAGTATATGTTTAGTAAATTAATTACGTAAAGGCTGTATACATGATGTGAGCGTGCAATGTAATTTGTTCATGATGTACTTTATATGTGCAGCAAGCACAATAAGCCGCGTTGGGTCCGAATACATTTTTTGGTTATATCATTAAGTGTATTATAAAATTCCAATTTTCTATTCTATTCTACTTATTCATTTTATTTATTATGTATTAAAAAAAACTTTCGAACAAACGTTTCAATGCGAATTATTTTCAAATGGTATGACGTCCTCTTAAGCTCAAAAAATCGTATATTACCTTTAATTAATAAAATACTCCTTTTTTATTTATTTATAGTTGAACGGATTATTAATTATTTGCATGATCACAGTAAGTTTTTTATTTTATTTTATTCTAAGAAATGTGTACATATATTACGTGAAGCGCTATGTTTATAAGATTTAAAATGATGATTTATATAACTTTAATGAATAATGACATAGTATGCCCGTTCAGTTAGGTCGTAGGTTCCTCGTATCCTTTTAAAAATTCTGTAATTAAAAAAAATATATATATATATATTTAGGTTCCTTCTGTTGTACATTATAGTGTATAGTGTAAATTATAGTAAGCTAATAACTGTCGTTTTGTTGGTAAGGATAAACTGTATAATTTATAATCAGTAAAAATAACTTATAGTTAAATAGTGAACATCATTTGTTCAAAAGTATAATTTAACTCTGAGTATGATAACAAATTCTAACCTTCCACTTGTTCCGGAGTTAGATTACCCGGTGTATTTATTGGAATTGCTGTAATATTAAAAAAATGTATATATATATATAAATATTTAGGTTCCTTTTATTATACGTACAAAAGTTGTACTGTGTACATTTGTAGTAAGTTATTAACTAACGTTTTGTTAATAAAGATAAACTTTGTAATTTGTATTCAGTAGAAATAATCAAAGTTAAGTAATGGAGATAATTTAGTTAAACGGCTGTAAATGCTGTAAATATTTATTTAGGTTTCAAAATGTATGTCCTACTAATAGTTCGTTCAAAAATATTATTCTTTTAAATTACTCAGTGTATGATTAGGAAAGATTAATGGATGAATTTGTTTTAGTAAAATAATGAAAACAACTCACGCGCTGGTAAACCTGTAAAACAAAAGGGCAGTGGTTAGTATTGAAATTATAAATTGTTATATTTTGGTGTTTAATATTTATAAAAATGTCAAAAATTATTGTAACTTATGTACATTCAACATTGCTTATGTACGCTTTAACATTGCTACTAGCACCATAACAAATTACAAGTAATGCATTTTGTTAAATATTATTGTTGGCGAATGAAAGAAACTAAAATAAACAAACCTTAACTTTTTAATATACTATGTTGAAATTATGACTCTGATAATTATAAATAGCATATAATTACGTTTTGTGTTTTATCGAACAAAATTTAAAAAAAAAAAGGTATGACGGTATGAAACAAATTGTCAACATTTTTAAGTCATAATCACCAGGTAACATTTCTTAATCAATGAAAGTGGTCTTAAATATGCAGATAAAGGATATAATTATAATGACTAAAACGACATTGTTCACCAGACTACTGTATACTCAAGGGCGAATCATTATAATTGTACATATTATAAATATAGTTAAAAAAATATGTAATTGATAATTTGTTCGAAAATATAAATATTCTACAAAATTACTCAAGTTGAACAAATTTGTATGATTTTTTTAGTAAAACAAAAAAACTTACGTCTTGTATCTACATAAGCCTCATTTCCGTCTGAAAAACAAAAGCATATGGTTATATTTAGGTGGTTAATATTTATACAAAATTCTAGAACTATAAAGTTCGAAACAAAATTATGGTTCTAGCTGTATGATCATTATCGATCAATTATGGTGAGACTTTGTAAACTCTAATGGTGAGGCATATCTGTACATATTATAAATGCTATACACTATTTTTTTAGGTTTTTAGGTATTTAGTGTACGCTTTGGAAGGATTTATATGCATTTTTTAGTAAACAAAGAAAATAACTTACTTTTATCTTGCCCAGACCCAGACGCAGACCCATTTCCCGCTGAAAAACAAAAGGATTTTGTTATGTTTAGGTGGTTAATATTTATATAAACTCCAAAAATGATTGTTATTAGTTAAACTCGAATTATTTTTTTATTTTATATTCACTAGTATCTAATGTCGCTAACTAGTTATCTCACGGTTAACATTTTGAAGGCAGTAACATCACGCAACATTTCTTAAATAAACAAAAGTGATCTTAGATATGCAGCTAAAGGAAATTATTATAATGACTATTTATCAGTTGATTTAGTTCACCATACCAGAATATTCTTTAAAACTACACAAGCGTTTGCTTTGAAAAGATTAGTATGCTTTTTTTTAGTAAATCAAGGAAAATAACTTACTCGTTGATGGTGCTGGTATAGGTGGTGGATTAGAAGCTGTAAAACAAAAGGGTAGTGTAAAAAATTTCAAAAAAAATTGTTATTTAAAAATGTTGTAATTGATAATTCGTTTCAGAAAGATTTCTATGATTTTTTTAGTGAAACATAGAAAATAACTTACAGCTTCCAGTCACCTGGGTAGCCTCCACTGAAAAAAAATAATTTTGTTGTATATAGGTGGTTAATATTTATACAAAATTTTAAGAACTACGAAAATCGAGTTATGTGTACACTTGTAGATTATCGGAAACAAAATTTTAGTTCTAGCTGTATGATCATTACCGATCAATTATGGTGGGACATTGTAAACTTTAATGATGAGGCATAACCTGTACATAATATAAATGCTGTAAACATTTTTTTAGGTCTTGGGTACTCAAGCGTATGCTTTGAAAAGATTTGTATGCTTTTTTTAGTAAATCAAGGAAAATAACTTACTCGTTGATGGTGCTGGTATAGGTGGTGGATTAGAAGCTGTAAAACAAAAGGGTAGTGGTAATTAATGAAATTATAAATTGTAGTTGTTAAATTGATATATTTTGGTAGTAAATATGTATAAAAAATTTCAAAAATAATTGTTATTTAAAAATGTTGTAATTGATAATTCGTTTCGGAAAGACTTCTATGATTTTTTTAGTGAAACATAGAAAATAACTTACAGCTTCCAGGCACCTGGGTGGCCTCCACTGAAAAAAAAAGAATTTTGTTGTATATAGGTGGTTAATATTTATACAAAATTTTAAGAACTATGAAAATCGAGTTATGTGTACACTTGTAGATTATCGGAAACAAAATTTTGGTTCTAGCTGTATGATCATTACCGATCAATTATGGTGGGACATTGTAAACTTTAATGATGAGGCATAATCTGTACATAATATAAATGCTGTAAACATTTTTTTAGGTCTTGAGTACTCAAGCGTATGCTTTGAAAAGATTTGTATGCTTTTTTTAGTAAAACAATAGAAAAAACTTACTCGGTGGTGGTGGTGGAACAGAAGCTGTAAAACAAAAGGGTAGTAGCAATTAATGAAATTATAAATTGTTATGTTTTGGTGGTTAATATTTATAAACAATTTAAAAAAAAATCATTCTTTATATACACCCGAGTGCTTTAACATAATACAAAGAAACTAAAATAAACACGGCTTAAGTTTTTAATACACTAAGTTGAGATTATGACTCTGACCTTTATAATTAATGTATAATTGCGTTTTGTAAATATTTTAAGGCACAATTATATTTTCGTACCCATCACATAATCATCGAACAATTAAAAAAAATGGTTTGTCGGTATTAAACAAATCGTCAAAATTGTTTAGTCATTAACCCCACGTAACATTTGGTAATAAATAAAAGAGATCTTAACTATTCAGATAAAGTATAAAACTATAATGACTAAAACGACTTTGTTCACCACACTACTGTATACTCAATGACGAAGCATTATTATTCTCCATATTATAAATACTATATTATCGGCTATTTATTGTTGAAAAATGTGTAATTGATCATTTCTATGAACTTTTTACTAAAACAAAGAACATAACTTACGTCTTTCAGGCGGAGACGTCACTGAAAAACAAAAGGATTTTGTTATATTTAGGTGGTTAATAATCATACAAAATTGTAGAACAATGAAATTCTAGTTATGTGTACACTTGAAAAATATTGGAAGCAAAATTATGGTTCTAGTTGTATCTATACATATTATAAATGCTAAAATAAAACATATTTTTAGGTTTAAAAAATGAGTCTCTTATTAATAATTCGTTCAAAAATAATATACTTCCATATTACGCCACAGTGTACGCTTTGGAAAGATTTATATGCATTTTTTAGTAAACAAAGAAAATAACTTACGTCTCACAGATCCAGATGCAGATCCAGACCCAGATCCATTCCCAGTCCCATTCCCAGACCCATTCCCAGACCCATTCCCAGACCCATTCCCAGACCCAGATCCCGCTGAAAAACAAAAGTTACACTATAAGTTTTTAAATACGAATAAATTGATTTTGCATAGTGTCCAGTGAAGACAATTTTGGGAATAAAAAATCAAAAAAAGCCAGTACAGTTGGGTGGGGTCGGGGCAAAGTGGGGATGGAGGAAGGTGGGGTCGGACCATAGTGGTGACAGGGAGGTCACAGGTTTAAAAGAATTATTAAAACTGAAAGTGATAAAATCACTTTCGAATAAACTCTTTGATGCGAATCAATAGTTAGTATTTTCAAATAGTAAAGTCCGAACCAAGCACAGTATCAACCAAAAAGGTAAGAAATGATAAAAGTGAGGTGCAGTGTTTTTAAATTAGCATCTAAGAGTTTATTTGAAAGGGATGTCATCCAAAGGAATACCGCTGAAAAACAAAAGGATTTTGTTATATTTAGGTGGTTAATATTTATTCGAAATTTTAAAAATTATATTTATTTAAATACCTGAAAACTTTGTTAGAATTGCTACGAGCAACATAACAACGTACAAGAAACGCATTTTTGACAATATATATAAAGATGACTGTCGTTTGCCTTTGGAAGTAACTAGAATACTAGTAGGTACCTACTATATTTTTCTTTTTATATTAGCTGCGTAGTGTTTGGTTAATACTAAAAGCTACATGTTTTATAAGTTGTTTTTTGTTTGTACAAATTGCTCAGAAAATATTCATCAACATTTTAATGCACAATCGTACTAGAAATGGGTCATTCGGAACACAGATTTACAAAAATATATAGTTGGTAATATGTTGGAATTTTGAAAAAATAACATACTAAGAAACAGATGTCTAAAAAGTATCATGATACGAAAACAATACTGAGAAACAATGAAACATTGTACGATATTGAAAACAACATGTTATGGTTCGATCTGTAAACATTACCGACCAACTGTTGTGTTTATGAGTAAAATCATGTTTTTCAAATCGCATCATAATAATTCTAAAACCTATGGTATTATTGTTTTATACCTAAAATATTATATAATGAAAATAATATAGATTTTTGTTAGGAAAAAACAATACTCCAATACTTGTGCAATGTCGAAAACAAAATTATGTTTCTATCTGTATAATCATTACCGACCAGTTATGGTGTATTAGTGTATATGAGTAAAATCGTATATCTAGATGAATTAAGGTCATATCAAAACTGTTAAAAAAGTTTTCTGAAACATGTGTAAAATTTAAAAAATTTGTTGAGGGGGGGGGGCGTAGAAGGGTAACGGATAATATAATATAAGGGTGTTGAGCCAAAAGAGTTTCCAACAAAATCAACATGTCCTATTAAGATGGATTTCACCATCAAAGTTTGACCCGTGAGAAATTAGATATACCGATCATATTGTACATTAACAGATAGTTATTCGGTTTGTCTTTCAAAAGTAAATGAAAATTTCGATGTAACCTAAATTTACTTATATTTACGCATAAATTAGGTTAAAAGAATAGTTACAGTCCACTTAAAGCCTAACGGCCAAAATTATAAAACATGAAACATGCTTAAGCCAGCAGGCTACCAAGTAGTGACTATTTCTGCATCTACCATCTCCTTGCGATTTATGATGACTATACAGAGTGATTTTAAATATTTTTAGAATAAATGTATTGTTAATGACTATTACTATTCTTTTGTGATAATTGAGTAAAAAGTTTTAGTATAGTAAAGCACTAAGTCTGAAAATAAATATTAAATGAACATCTGAGCAAAATTATGTTTTTCATATCACATAATAACATTTCTAAAACCTAAGATATTATTGTTTTACGCCTAAAAAATTATTATATAATAAAATTATTATATTCTAAGTAGTGATTATTTCTGATTTACAATCTCCTTGCGATTTATGATGATTATACAAGGTGATTTATGTTTTATCATTGGCCACTTAATGTCTCATAGTATATAATAGGAATTACATTTTTTTCATATTGTTTTTTTCATATTTCTTTTATACAATGTGATATGAATTTTTCATAATTATTTTGTTTTTATTCCCCTCCTACCTTTTTTGATATCGACTTTTAAAATTTTAATGGTAACGTAAATATTTTATTAACTTTTTTAATTTAGAATAATGTATTAAAAATTTTGACAGGTCGATAACCAGTTTCGGATAACTATTTTTGAAGTTATTGTAGTTTCAAATTTTTGGTAAGAGAAAAGGTGGAGCGTAGTATTATTTTTATCTGTGCGCATTTCCCAACCACACTTCCCCTCCCATCCTAACTTTAAAACTCTTATAACTTTAAAAATAGTTATCCGAAACTGGTTAATGACCAGTCAAAATGTTTAGTACATTATTCTCAATTTAAATAGTTAATAAAATATATACGTTACCATATAAGTTTCAAAAGTTGCTATCAAAAAAACCAAGTTGGAAAGGGGGTTAAAAACCAAAAAAAAATTGTGAAAAATTGCGATCACATTGTATAAAAACAATATGAAAAAAAAATCCATCTACCAACCCATCCACAAAATATCTCTTATCTCTTATCATATAACAGCGTACCGCTTTTTTGGTAACAGTTTTTTCGGTTATGTGCCAGAGCTAAGACATGAAAATGTGTATTTGTGTATATTATGTGAGATGATACAAATCTTGATCCTTTTAAAATTATATGCATTATAATAGACCTTATCTATTATACATTTGCTTACAATTTTCAGTTAAAGTAATATAACTCTATTGTATGATATTGAAAACAACTTGTTATGGTTCGATCTGTAAACATTACCGACCATCTGTTGTATATATGAGCAAAATGATGTTTTTCATAGAACATAATAACATTTCTAAAACCTAAGATATTATTGTTTTATGCCTAAAATATTATTATTTAATACAATTATTATATTCTAAGTAGTGATTATTTCTGATCTACAATATCCTTGCGATTTATGATGATTATTCAGGGTGATTTGTGTTTTATCATTGGCCACTTAATATCTCATAGTATTTAATATGAATTACATTTTTTTTTTATCTATATTATGCAGTTGTTGCCATATACGCAACAGTTGGCCGGTAATGTTTACAGATCGAACCATAACTTGTTGTTTTAGTATCGTACGATGGTGATATATTTTTTTGCCTGAAAAATGTTTGCACTGTTATGATAGATAAATTCTATTATAATAATGCACATAATTTTAAAGGAATCATGATTTAAGCCATCTCACATAATATGACAAACTTTTGTGGTTTGTCTTTTAAAAGTTTTAATAGAAGCTAACTTACCACCACTCTACTAATATTATAACTCGATTTGAAACACATGATTTTACACATTTATACAATGGTCGGTATTGTTAAATAATATTTAGTTGTAACTGTCTTGGTCGACTATCCCCGTTCTTTTAATTAAAATGTATTCTCTGGTTAACGGTATTGTAAAAAAAGGAATATATTATTATTTAATTTTTTATTCAAAAAATTATCTCATCTGGAAACTATGTAAAATAATTGTATTCGTATTTAGCAGCTTATAATGCTAAATCATCGAAAAGTGATTTTATAGAACGCATGTTTGTTAAAAATTATACAAAAAACTATATTATTCTATTTTTTTTTTTAATAATTCTTAGTAAGCCGTAAAATTTTAGTTGTTAAACATTTTTTTTTAATTTTTTAACAGAGTCCGAGTTTAACTTCAATTATCAATCTATCCTAAATAATTCTTAAGAACATACCACAAAAGTTTATTATATTATGTGAGATTATATAAATCTTGATCCTTTTAAAATTATATGCATTATAATAGACCTTATCTATTATACATTTGCACATATTTTTCGGTTAAAATAATATAACACTATTTTACGAAAATGAAAACAACTTGTTATGGTTCGATCTGTAAACATTACCGACCAACTGTTGTGTATATGAGCAAAATTATTTTCTTCATATCACATAATAACATTTTTTAAACTTAAGTTATAATTGTGTTATGCCTAAAATGTTATTATTATTTAATAAAATTATTATAGATATTATAAGGAAAAAACAATACTCCAATTATATAAAGATACTAGGAACGCCTCCGTTTAATATTACAGCTTATTTCAGTTCTTAGGAGTTTTTAATGAAAATTATTAATGTTTTAAACAAATTTCCGGTTTTATACAATTTAAAATTGCGAGTCAAGCATTTAATCATTTGAAAAAACAGTTTGTGTAAAAAAGTTTAAATTTCTTCTAATATTATCAATAAAATAATATGGCCATTATATTCTAAGTAGTGAATATTTATTTTCTTAAACTATATACGTATATAATTATAGGTGAACTCATTTTTAAATCATAAAATCTAGTACAATGTTATTGTGTACCATTAAAATATTTTAAAACATTTTATGAAAAAACTTGTAAAATTCAGTATTTTGCCAGTTGATGTCAGCATTTGAGAATTTTTTTTAATTTTATTTTATGATTTGCCGTGTACACAGGTGACACGTAAGATATCTTAATTATTTTTTGTTTTTTACTAAGCAAGACAGATATAGGGTAAACCTACATTTTTGATAATAAACTTAATTTTTTTTTGTTTATAAATGCTTAACCGAACTAGAGGTGTGTCTTTCGAAACTAAGAATTAAAAAAACAAATATATGAAACTAGTTAAGGTTTTAAAAAATATATACTAAAAAACAGGTGTCTAAAAAGATTCATGGTTCAAAAACAATACTGAAAAATAAAAAACCATATTATTCTATTCTTTTTTTAATAATTCTTAGTAAGCCGTAAAATTTGATTTGAAAAATATACTAAACTTTTTTTTAAATGTTTAAACGGAGTAAGGGTTTAGCTCAATTAAGACTATTAAAGGACAAACAAACCACAAAAGATTATTATATTATGTGAGATGACTCAAATCTTAATTTCTTTAAAATTATATGCATTATTATAACAGAATTTATTTACCATAAATGTGCAAACATTTTTCAGGTAAAAAAATATATCACTATTGTACGATATTGAAAACAACATGTTATGGTTTGATCTGTAAACATTACCGAACAACTGTTGTGTATATGAGTAAAATCGTGTTTTACAAATAGCATTATAACATTTCTAAAACCTATGGTATTATTATTTTATACCTAAAATATAATTATATAATAAAATTAATATACTAATGCTATATACAGGGTGATCCAACTAACGTAAGACACTCATTTTGACATTTTTTCGGAAAATATGAATATTTTGAGAATTTTTTTTTCTTAAACTTTTAGGTATATATTTTATTACCAGTGGCGTGTTTAGGTTTTTTTTTAGGGGGGATATGAATTTATCAAGTGGTCACAGACTTGAGGGGGGCTTCGCCCCCCTCACCCCCAAAGTTTCCATGAAATATAATAGCTTATTAACATTATATATAATCTATGATGCCAAAATTATAATATATAACGCATTACTCGGGATTAAATGTTTTGTTGTAACAGGCTATCACAATACAAAATCTAATTTTCTTGATTTTGTTGCTATATAGTCTATTCAGTTTAAGTTTGCCCACTTTCGCGCATTGTGTCAGGC